GGGGTCTCGGGCTCGAGGGATTTCAGCATCAAGCCCTCAGGCTCTCACACAGGCAGAAGCTTCCAGCTTGCCAGGCTCACGGGTCTAACTCGGTTTCTCTTTTTTTTCTCCACGCTCAAGATGCGACGGTGTACGTTGGGGGGTTGGATGAGAAGGTCAGCGAGCCGCTGCTGTGGGAGCTCTTCCTCCAGGCAGGGCCGGTGGTCAATACCCACATGCCCAAGGATCGAGTCACAGGCCAGCACCAAGGTGAGATATGTACTGTTCTCTCTGAAAAGCTGCTTGGTGAATACATGAATTGAGTTGGGGGCGTTCGGAGAGAGATTACTGCGGGAAGAGAGGTGAGGGATGGGCTGTCCCCTTGGGAGATCATCATCATCCTTCCCCTAAGAAGGGGCCAGGGCTCTGGTTTTGGATCCGGAGGGGTTGGGTGGGCTGTGGGAGGCCTTGGGCCTGCCCTCTCCTAAAGCTCTGCCCGGGGACTCGTTGCAGGTTACGGGTTTGTGGAGTTCCTCAGCGAGGAGGACGCGGATTATGCCATTAAGATCATGAATATGATCAAACTGTACGGGAAGCCGATCCGAGTCAACAAAGCCTCGGCCCACAACAAAAACCTGGACGTGGGGGCCAACATCTTCATCGGCAACCTGGACCCTGAAATCGATGAGAAGCTGTTGTACGACACCTTCAGCGCTTTCGGGGTCATCCTGCAGACGCCCAAAATCATGCGAGACCCCGACACGGGCAACTCGAAGGGTTACGCCTTCATCAACTTCGCCAGCTTCGACGCCTCGGACGCCGCCATCGAGGCCATGAACGGCCAGTACCTCTGCAACAGGCCCATCACCGTTTCCTACGCCTTCAAAAAAGATTCCAAAGGCGAGCGGCACGGCTCGGCCGCTGAGCGGCTCCTGGCAGCCCAGAACCCGCTCTCGCAGGCAGATCGGCCTCATCAGCTCTTCGCCGACGCTCCTCCTCCTCCCTCTGTCCCCACTCCCGTTGTCACCTCCTTGGGACCTGGTGTCACCCCTCCAGGTGGGTAAATCGGGGCAGCGCCCGTCTCTGCAGGGGGGTCGTTGGCAGGAGGCTACTGCGGCTCGTGCTCAGCCGTTCCTTGGCGCAGGGAGCGGGGGGGCTCAGGGCAGCGACGCTGCGTCGCGGGGGAGATTTTTGGTGTAAAACCCTCGGTGGAGCTGCGGCATCGTGAGCTGGCAGGACTTTGGCAAGAGACATTCTCTTCCCTCCCCACGGTGGCTCGGCCTACGCCGTCCCGGGGCTGAGGGGAAGGATCCTGCGCCTGTCTGCTGGTTGTTTTTTTTATGCTTTCTGTGGCTGTTTGCGTTTTCACCGCCTTCCCGATTGCCTGGGAGTGTTATTTTTATTTTTTTTTTCCCTGTAGGTTTGTTTGCTTTTTATACTTAACCAAATTCTCGCTGTCTCTCTTCCCAGGCCTCCCACCCCCAGGATCGTTCCCCCCGCCGGTGCCGCCTCCCGGAGCGATGCCTCCCGGCATGCCTCCTGCCATGCCACCCCCACCCATGCCGCCCGGTGCGGGTGCCCCAGGCCCCCCCTCCGGGGCTGCACCCAGCGGGGGGCACCCCCCGCACCCACACCCCTTCCCTCCGGGCGGGATGCACCATCCAGGTGAGCACCAGGCCGGTGTCGGGCTCGGGAAACGGAGCTCATCTTCCCCTTCGAGGGGGTGGGTTTGGGTGAATCACCCCCCTCCCGTTTTTCTCCCCTGAGGTTCCCGTTTCGTAAAACGAGGAGAAAACTTTTGCCATCCCCTGTTCAGGTTTGGAACGCAGCATCTTTCCCCACAATGTTGCTCTCCGCAGCGCAGGGGTGAGGAGAAGGGAAGGGTCTGCGTAGGAGCGAGTGCAGCGCGTCAGCGGCGCCGCGCCCGCGTTCTGGGTTTTTCTCCTGGATGTTCTAAAACGTGTTAAAAAAAAAAAATAACCTGGAGCGGGGCCCAGCGGGATTTATGAAACGTTTGGGTAACGTGGGAAGGAAAGAGCCCTCCTGGGACGCGTCCGCTCGGGGCGAGACGTTGGTTTCCATGAGGGCGCGGGACAGGGGAGGGCAGGGGCTGGCGCGGCGCCGGCTGTTAACGACTCGGGTGCTCTTCTGGCTGTTAACGAGACTCCGAGTCTTCATCGTTTTTTCTCTGGTGTAAATTAATACGTTAAGTGGGAACCTTCTTAGCACAGTCTGCGCTTCTGCCAGGCAGGAGCTAATTCCAGACACGAGAACAAAATGTTTCTTTGATTTCCTTCCATTTTTAGCCCTGTAGTACTGGGGAATGAGCAGCCTCTCCATCTAGACTCTGGTTTCAGATGCAAAAATTAAGTGACATTTGCAATTTAATTTTTTTCTTCTTCTTCTTGTTTAATCCTGCCTGCTTTAAACCGACCCCTGCACCGAGAGGCTCTCCCACGCTGGCTGATTAGGGTGCTTTGTGTGATCGTGGCTCTGGCCGTGTGAGTGACCAGATGGCTGCTGCTTGTCCCCGATTACACGTCGGCTTTAGAGCAGCCAATTAGGCTCGGCGCAGGAAAGCCTGACCTAGCGCTTCCACACTGCTCGCCCCGGGGAGCCACGCCAGGCTCGTGGGTTTCTGATGAGGAGGAAAGAATCTGTGCTGCTTTTTTTTTTTTTTAATTGTTTTAAAGGGATCTAATAATCATCGGAAAAAAAAAAAGGATTTGGAGGGACTCGGGCCATTTCTGCACAGAGCAGGACAAGCTTCAAAGTTGGGTTGTTCAGGGAGCTGGTTTGTCCCCTCCAAGCCCCCATCCCAGGACTCACCACGCTTGCTGTCCCATCTTTCCTGCCCCCCCTTTCCCTTAACCTCCAGGCAGCCTTTTCTGAGCTGCAGCCCGTTCCTGTCCCCTCTTGACAGAGATCTTTCTGCTTTCTCCTCTTTAACCTCCCTCTTGGCCACAGAACTCCCTTTGCAGCCCGATGTAGCCCTACAGCTGGATTCAACACCCCTCTGGGCTACGGAGAGGGGAGGGGGGCTCAGAGCCCTCCTTGCCACCAGCCCTTGACTCGTTATTCCCTCAGGAATGCCTCCCATGCAAGTCCACCACGGGCCTCCCGGGATGGGCCAACATCACCCAGGACCACCGGGCTCCGGAGGCCAGCCTCCCCCGCGGCCCCCCCCTGGCATGCCACACCCTGGACCCCCACCCATGGGTATGCCACCCCGAGGACCTCATTTCGGGTCGCCCATGGGTAAGTGGGTGCCTGCAAGAGGCGGTATGTGTTCTTTTCTATCGATCGTACACACTTGTTCTCGAGTCGAGCGCTCGCTTCGGCCCCGCGCCCTCCCTCGTTTCTGGTTTTTTTTTAACGGGGACGGGAAGGAGGAGACGTCGCGGAGGCGTCTCGGAGCAAAAACCCGGCAGCCACGAGCTGCTCAGCCAGGATCCCACGGGGCTTTCCTCGTGTTGCGGGGCTCTGCACTTTCTTGGTGACGGACCCCCCCCATCTCTCGCATCGGGATAACGACCGGGCTGTGGTGCCAGGGCTGGGTTCCTCAGACCCCTCCTGCCCACCACCCACAGAGAAATTCCAGGACCTGCCGGCAGAGGGGGAGCGTTGGCCCAAACCGTGGGCACCCGGTAGAGCTGGCACCCAAGGGGGGGGTTTGGG